CTACCTTTCACAGTGACGTCACAGTCACAGTTTTCCTTCGGCGAGCATCAACTTGGGAGCATCATCAATTATACACAAGCCTGACAGAAGGGGAATCACTACATCTGGCTCATTTTGCCAGCTGTTTGCGAGCTACGTCCCCACTGGGTTCAACGTTAGGACAATCCACTGGGGATCATATTTGCTGGCTGAACTGAAGGGTCTTGCTTGACGTTGGAATTTTTTGGCTGTTGGCTTTCCCATTTACCTCACCTGGTGGGCGCCGTTAGGAACTACCATTTTACCATTTCTGATAGTTGAAACGAGGTACTCTGGTAGAGGGCGAACGTGTATGCTAACGTAGCAGTAAGTTGTAAAAGGATTGTAATGATACCAACCATGTGGATGGTAGCGGTCATATTGACACAGCTATTTCACACCTTTCGATGATATACTCCGGGTACCGAGAGTCCAGATCTTGTCAGAAGGCAATTCCGAAATCCTCATTTCGGAATAATTTCTTCTTCAAGAATTCTTCATCCAGTGGAAAATGTAATAGCCCATCAAGAATAATCTAGAATATACAGGAAGACTTTAACACTCATTTTGGATAATATTGCCTTTTTTGCGTATAGCAGACCATCGTTTTCGTAGCTTCTCGTCCATTTTGCTGAATCCTAATTCGTTGTTTTCGCAGTGATTCTAGCCGTTCACTAAGGAACAGTAACAATGATCCCGCCCCTCTTTTTTTTCCTTGGATGTGCAATCCTTGAAGTGGCTCTTTTTTGTAATTTCTCAAATCATTCTTGTTTTGGTATTTAATCTTACCTTTACATGTAATTCTTTTTTAATGCGATTTTCATGTGAAGGACTATTCAAAGGCTACAATCTTTCAGATGGTTATCGATTACTACGAGTCGTTGATCACATCTCAGAATGGATGACATTGTTTGATAATGTGAATTACAGAACCTCTTTACATTCTGCACAATTTATTCAATAAATATGCCATGAAGTACCATTAGATTACCGAAAACAACAAGAGATCGTCAAGTTATTACAGTAGTTTTAGCTACACCGAGTATCATCTAATTCAACGAATCATTTGTACATATGTCATTAAATTTCATGTGTTTCAATACGATCAAATATCTGAATCTATCAGTATATGAAAGCGACTAGAGTCAAATGAATAAAACTAGTAAGCATACAAACATCAAGACTTTCCTGTAAAACGGCTCAGCATTCGCCTTTGAGCAAGATTCAGTTGATCCTCCGAACCAAACTTCTGTACTTTAGCCCTCAATGCTCTTGCCTTAGATTCATGGTCCAAGTCATCTTGAACATCAGCTGCCGTCCAAGACTTGAGCTGCAAGGTTTTCATGTTATTGGAATAACTTAATTGCTTTCAAAGACACCTGAAGAGTCGATGGCGTTGTTGTAAATTACTAGCATACCGTAGCTTGCATAGAATCCACAGGGACATTATCTCCTTTGAAAGACGAAATGATTTCACCGACTTTGTCCACAAAGTGCTCTATGAGCCTCTGAATAGATGAGGATGAACTAAGGTTGCGATAGGTGAAGATTAAAAAGGACGATGATCTCACCTTCCTTTCATAACTCCTATGCCTCAGCCGCTGAACGAATTCCTCTCTTTCCCAGAAACTTTCGCATACAATCTGTATGGTCTTCTGATTATACCTTTCGGTTTTCGCAAGCCTTTCGCATCGTCTCTCTAGTTCAGCCACTAAAGGAGCAGGGATCGGATGGCAATGCTTCAGTATCCAAGAAACGTCATAAAAAAGAATTGTTACCTTTTTGCTCCAGATCTGTCACTTGACTTCTCAAATATTGGATGGCGATCAAAGACTTGTCGTTCTCGTCCTTCAGGGAAATGACCTCGCGCTTTTCTCTAAAGAATCACTTTGTAAAAAGGCAGGGTAAAGAATATCTTAAGAACAACTTCTCCAAATTGGCATTAGCATCCTGCAGCTTTCGTTCAAGTTCATCGATTACGGTATTAGCCTTCTTGATCTCTTCTTGAGACTCCTAAACAATGCAAACTTCAGTGTATGACAAAGTGCAGCATACGACAATCGCGCTAGTAGAATGGTATGCCGGCTTTGAAAGGTCACAGGTAACTTGCCTGATCTAGTTTCTGGAATTCCACCATGAGATGTGCGGCGTTATCCCTTTCAGTTGATACTGTTTCCATTTCCTCTGACATCTTTCGAAGTTTAATTCTGTACTGCTCGATTTGGATCTTCGCCGCATTCAACTCGGACCTGCATGTGATTGGTAAAAGCACCAATAGATCTGTCGCACAACTAGACTTATAGGAAAACGCTCACATGATGCTCATTCTCTCCCTCTTCACTGACGTGATCTGATCAGCTTGACGACGGAAACGATCTAGCTGTACCTGCAGATCCTCACGTTCAAGGTTCCATTTCAGCTTCTCCGAGCTGAAAGGGCTTTCCTTGCTACAGCAGAAAGGAGGACATGAGTAGCTACTAACCTCATCTTCTTTTCAAGAAACTCTTTATCATCACAAATTGCTCTCAATTCTTGTCTGGCATGTTCTGCAGCATCAGAAAAGTGTTGTTGGCATTCCTTCAAGAAACGCACCACCTGCAATTTGCTCGAACTTCCATAACTTGAGATTATGGCTTCAGAAAAAGGAGCCCTGCTCAAAACTGAGCATGAGACTCACCGCTGTATCGATTACGGTGCTTCTTTGCTCGTGCTTGGCACAAGTGAGCAGTCGCTTCAGTTGATCCTGCATGTGTGAGGAGGAAGGATAAGAGTCGCACTGAACGATACACATTTCATTTTCACAGATGAATGCTGAACAGCGGAAAGCTCACATCTCGGAAATTTTCAACGGAAGCAATCAGACGACATATTGGAAGTACACTTTCATCCTCTTCAGAAATATCACTGGAAGTTTGCGTTCCTACGTTGCATTTCTCAGGGAGCGGCGGCGAATTTCCTAAACATGGAAAACTCCACCTTAATATGGTGAGACGTAGGTTCAACAGTGAAAGAGGAAAACGTGTTGTCGATTCTGCAAAACAAATCTGAACAAACCTCGTTTGCTCAGCCCACTAGCACTAGCAGCTGGGCAGATTGGGACGAAGTTTCACGCATCTCTTTTGATCGCCTTAGTACAGCATCGATTCTTAGATCACAACACTATACTGACGAAAATGGTACGATAAAGAAAAAATCACCCACATTCGCAGCCTGCTCTGCAAGTTCTCGAAGTGCTGGTGGAACGTAATCATAAAAGCGACCAACTGCACTTCTCAATTTGTTCCACACTTGTTCCTTTGTCACAGCGGTCGATGGAAATGAATTGGCCGGAAATACATTACACTACAAATGAGTCGATGTTTCACCAACACTTAAAAACTCTAACGTGATACTAGTTAAGAAAAGTTTCCAGCCAGTTTTGTGAATAAAAATTTCGGCTGTGGCGCTGCTATCATGCATTTTCGTGCCAAGCGCATATGATACTCATACCCAAGAGACCAATTTATCTCCGTAGCGGTGATTTTAAATCCAAACATTCGCGCAATTTTTTTAAAAATGCATGTACGCACTTACCAAAAGAGTTAGAAAGCGATTCAAAAAAATTCAGATGTCGGTACCTGGATAAGACTCCAACTGAGCTAGGCGATATGAAAGTGCATCAATTTGTCTCCGTTTTTCCTCTACCATTCCACAATACTGTTGCTCCGCTAGCTCCTAAACAGTCTCTATACGTTGGTATTGCAGCTGAATGATTCGCCAGTATGTAATGGAAACAACTAGCAACTACTGTCATAAGATTCTAAAGGACCCAATACAGTTTGTTAAGCCCGGTCTACCTGAAAAAGATGAAACTCCTCCCGCACTCGATCACATTCATCATTAAGTTTGTCCAACCGATGTCCCAAATCCGTAAATTTCAGCAGATTTCTCCACCTAAACATCTGTACATTTCTTGAGAGCCGCATTAAATCGACTGCTCTTTCAAACATACCAAAGCATCTTGTAACTTGGACTCCACGGATCGCAAGTCAGCCACGATTTCATCGCGACACTTGAGTTCATGGCGCAGAGACTCCAACTTTGCTAGTTGCTCAGCATTAGCGACCTAGAACCCTTCAATTTATAACACAGGAGAAAATGCACAATTTCAACTGCACTGAAAACGCATTCAAGAGTAAATTTGAAGAGTTTCAAAAATACCTCTTTCTCCATCAGAGCCTTCTTCTCAGCAAGCGCACGTTCAAGATTTTCGCGACATTCCTGGAGAGCTGTTGAAAGCTGTTGCGTCTCTTCTTTGGTACTGCTAGTGGCAGCTGCCTGAAGATAGGAAAAAGTGATAGAACAAATAGAAAACACTTATTGATGGGACCTTCTGTTACCTGTCGAAGATATCCCAACTCCTGTGACATCTTTTCATTGGCTGTTACAAGATCGTCCACTTGTACTGATCGTTCTCGCAACTATAATGTTCGATGGACTTGCACTAGAGCTACACAGGCAGTTTTTCGACTCGCCTTTAGCACCACTTTTATTGGAGACGATGAAACTTGGTGTTCGAAATAAGCAGCATGTGACAAAAGTAAAAGTAAAGCGTGACTCAAAAGAGAACCTTCAGCTCTAAATCAGAACAACGCCGCAAACTATCTTCAGCTGTTTGTCGAGCTTGTTTTTCATTCGATAAGGACAGGCGCAATTCTTCCAATTCCGCGTTAGCACGAGCAAGACGCATCTTCAACTCCTCACTCAAGACGGAAGAAAAAACATTCTCCTCTGTTAGCTTACTGCTCACTTCCCGAAGTTTCTGAAATGCAAGGTGAAAAGGTTACAGTAATCCAAGTCTACCAAAATCTTCAGAAAATACTTACCATGCATTCCTCACGTAATTTCTCCGCCTCGTTCATCTTCTCATCGACAACGGACTTCATTCTTGCATCATTAGACTGAATACAAAATGATGTCTTCCTTTAACGACAACTAAGTGCCTTTGATGGTTTGGGTAACAAAAAGCACCAGACCTTGAGTTCTTCTATTTCGCGTTCGCAAGAGGAAATGTGACACTTCAGCTTTGACTCTTGCGTTCTCAGGTCGTCTGAATTCTGCTCATACTGCGCTATCTGCCGTTCAAGTGCCTCTTTCTGCGCACGAAGTTCGGCAGACTTCGCATTTTCACTTCGAAGATTCTCAATTTCACTGTCCAAACGTTCACACTAGAATATTCGTCGTTAGAAGCGCAACAGAAACAAATACCAACAGTCTCAACACCGAAACTAGTTTCGCTCTTACCTTATCTATCAACCCGACAATTTCATCAGACTTGACCGCGACCTTCTTCATCAATTCTTCCCCTTCCTTGTGCAGTCCCAAATTTTCATCCTCAAGAAAAGCGACTCGATGATTGCATTCTTCGAGTTTCTAAAAGTAAATAACCCATGGTCAAGACATAAATACACCAATGGTAAGAGAACCTACAAAGAGATGTGCCAGATTTGAAGGGTGAATTATGCGACTTTGATTGTTGCTGTAACTTGGT